CTTTTCAAAGCCAGAACTCTACCCTGTTTGCACACGTCAGGATGTTCAGGAAGAGCCTCATGGGTTACCACAGCTCAGGATGCATCCAGACACTGTCTCCACGGCCTGCGGAGCTGCTCTCTGAGGACTCACTTCACTGCCTCTCCTTTCCCAGGCTCCTGGAGATATACCACCTGTCACCTCTGGGCCTGGAGGGCAGATGGAGGTGAGATGTGAAGGAAGACTGCGTCATCAAAGCAGATGGAAGCATTCCCTAGCACCTGGGCCATCCTGGGTCCTAGCTTGATTACTAAAGAATAGGGAGATTTCAAAGTAAAATGTCCAGCAACTTGTTTACAGAACATAATACTGTGGGCACACAGCAGTTATCTGTAAGCATGCATATCTGTTAAAGACATATGAACTTTATCCTCAAGCTCTGCCTGCTACACATCTTGTTTTAAATCCCTTGTATATATGCTCGTATGCATCCTCTATACACATCTGTACAGAAAGTCTGGGGGGTAACATAGCAAATAAATTAACTACAGTGACTTGAGGCACTGTCAGGTTTGGGAACTGGCTGGAAAAGGGTTTGGAAGTTTCACTGAAATTCAGGTCATCCATTTCTCAGTGGTGTTCTCTTAACAAGTTGCTTTACCTTTCTCAGACTCGGTGGCAACTAGGAAATGGGGAGAATGACACCGGCCTCGCAGGACTGCTGTGAAAGCCAGAGATCATACACCTCATATGCTGGCACACAGCAGACACTCAGTAAATGCTATCTATAACTATTACTACTGTAAAAGAGGATAGGGCTGGGTGTGGTGGTTCACACCTGTAATCCTAGCACTTTGAGAGACCAAGGCAGGCGGATCACCTGAGGTCAGGAGTTTGAGATCAGCCTGACCAACATGGCGAAACGCTGTCTCTACTAAAAACACAAAAATTAGCCAGGCTTGGTGGCACACACCTGTAATCCCAGCTACTCGGGAGACTGAGGCAGGAAAATCACTTGAACCTGGGAGGGAGAGTTTGCAGTGAGCCGAGATTGCACCACCAGACTCCAGCCTGGGTGACAGAGTGAGACTCTGCCTCAAACAAACAAAAAAGAGGATGGTTGCCAAAAAGCCATACCTCTACCCTCCCTGTAGCCATGGAAACTGCCTCTTGTTGAATAAGAGCATCCCTCCTCATTCTCCAGTCCCAGATTTGCCTTTGAGTCTCTGGTATAAACTCTGGTGTAGGGACCAGTTAGTTCCTCATGAGGACCACGTGTGCTGGCTATTCCAACACACCTGTTCCCCACTTGCAACCTCAGATCCACTGTATCTGTTCTGGTGACTGACCTCTGTGGGCTGCTTCCCCAGGGCTTCACGCCCTTTGGCATCAGGCTAGGATCTGCCAGTTGGAAACACCAGCACCAGATCTGGGAATGTATTCTTCCCTATCTCCCTGCTTGGTCAAATCTCTACAGTGGCTTTGTCCTTTCTGTCGCCATAGCTCCTGTTGGGCAGCCCCTCTTCTATGATTTCAGCACTTGCTTCCTCTGTAGGTGGTCTCTTCATTAAGCTCTCTCCAGATAAACATTTTTAGGGCACCATCTGCTTCCTGCCAGGACCCTAACCAAAACAGGGGAGGTTTTCTTGATGCAAACTATAACACTGTTACAATGACTTTAGAATAACGAGATGTTAAAAATAATAATAAGCTGTGGAGGCAGACTAATAATGTCTAGTTCAGGCTAGGGCTCTGATTTTCATTACTTGAACCTCCAAGAATTAAAGTAACTTTCATCTAATAAGAAAGTCGGGAAGACAATAAAAAACAGCCTGAGCCTAGAGATCTTGTCTTTTCCTCCAGTGAGGGGCCCGTTTTGCAACTCTCCAAAGCAACAAGAACCTTGCAGCAGGAAAGAGAACTTGTTTCATCCCTGATGGACACTTACTCTATGTCAAACATCATGTAAGCTATTCTATATAAACCGTCTCATTTGGAGCTGATAACAACTTGGTGAGGTATACCCATTTTTCAGAAGAGGAAATAGAGTCATAAAGATAGTAAGGACGCTGTTCGAGGTCACACAGCTGGTCAGTGCAGAATCAGGGTTTGAACCTGAGAAGTCTGGCTCT